CCACGTTAGTGACAGAGGAGTTGACATAAGGACTAATGTGGCCCTTTTTTCATAAATTTAGGGACCAATTTGGTCCTTTTTTATTGACAGGGACTAAAAAGGATTTCGTAGATATTGCCAAGGACCAAAAATGGTGTTTACTCTAAAATTAATCTTAGTTTGATTATAAAATGTGGCTTATGTCCAATCATTAAAGAACCATTTAAAATTTATTTCAATAATCAAACAATAAAATTTTAACTATTTAGGATTCTAGACGGATATCATAATAACCTTTATATATATATATATAGGAAAAACACTTCTTACGTTGCATGAGAACTGTTTTGTCATGTTGTGACTCTTCGATTTGCGTGCAATTTTTTTTTATCTTTTTCTTTTTTTAATGTGTGGGACCCACAACTAATTGAGTCACAACATAAGAATTCAATTCTCATGCAACATGAGAAAATCAAAGCCCATATATATATATATATAGGGAAGGATCCATTTACAAACATTTTTGACAAATTTTTACAAATTACACTATCTTCTTTTGGGAGAACACTATGTTCTCCCAAAAGAAGATAATGTAGTTTGTAAACAAAAAAGTTTGTAAATATAATCTGCCCATATGTGTGTGTGTGTCTATATATATATATATATATATATATATATATATATATATATATATATATATATAAGGTAGGATCATTTGGCACCAATGTCAAATTTGAAATTTGACACCTCATCTGAGATCCATTAGATCAAAAAAGATCAACGACTCTGATTTGTAAGCATGTGACACCATTGATCTTTTTTCATCTAACGACTCTTAGATGAGGTGTCAAACTTCAAATTTGACACTTATAACACCTCATATTTCTAAACTACATAATTATATGTGATAATATGGATTAAGGGGTAGGATTTAATGAAAATCGTGAAATTAGGGCCAAAATACGTAAAAAGGGCAAAATGATAATTTACCAAACACATAACCCTAGGCAGAAAAAATTGAGTAGAAAGCCTCGTATGGTAAAAATAATGCCCGAAATGGATTCAGAACGAAAAATCGAGTGGACAGGCAAGTTTCGAAAAATTTGATGAATAATGATTTTACGGTGTAAAATACTACGGTATAATTGTTTCGATAAGCGTGAAAATATGATCAGTATTGTTAGGAAATAAAAATATGACGTGAATGAGAAAAATATGTAAGTTATGAATTTGTGGGTTATATTGGGTGATTTAAGAAAGTTAATTGGTGTGTGAGACCCACTTAAGTGACTTAAGTGAGTAAGTGGAAAAAAGCATCACAATTTCAGAACACTTTCTCTCCTCTTTCTCCTTCTTCTCCCGTGAGGTTTCTTCATTTTAAGTGCATTGAGAGCTTTGATTTCTAACTTTTTTCTAGCCACTTTTGAGAGAAACTTCCAACTACAAAGTTGTTCCCCTTGAGATTGTGAGTAACTTTCATGTAGAGAGCATCTTGTGGGGAGCATTGTGGAGGGAGAAAACCCCATAAATTAGCCACAAAATTCTGTGTATTTTGGGGAATTTTTGGTGCTTTTTGGGTTGATTCATTGGTTGGAGATCATTCCCTAGGACCATTGGAAGCTATTGATGGTAAGTTTTCACATTCTCATGGAGTTTTTATTTGGATCATAAAATGGTGAGGGTTTTGATGATGTGTGTTGAGTTATGATAGTTAGGAGCATTAAATGGTATGTCTTCTTTGAAATTAAATGCTTAGAATGATAAATGATGATGATTGATGTAATAAAAATTATTGTGATTTGGGAATTATAACTTAGACAATTTTGTGATGAAATTTCAAGACTTTATGAATTGGCATGATGATGGGATTGGATAATTGAATTGGAGAGCAGTGGTGTGAATTAATAGGATTGTATGATATGTGTGAGTGTTGGATTGGATTGAAAACCTTGTAGGGTACTTCCTTGAGGATTTCGAACCATAGTGTGGTTGGAGGAAAAATGATGTGAAAATATGTTTTAGGCCATGGTTGATGCTTTAGTGCATAATTGGTAGGTTGGTGAATTAGTTTGATGATTCAAGTGGTTGAGGTAGTTGAATTAATTGTGAGAGGGCCATTAGGCCTAAGTGGCTATAATTGGTTATAATTCTTGTGAAATTGATTGATTGTTTGCAATTGGTTGATGGTCATTGTTGTTTGATCATATAAGTTGTCTCTCACGGAACCAATAGAAGTGGAATAAGCTTGAAGCTTATGTGGGGAGCATTGCGTTTGGAGTTGAGGTAAACCATTGGAACTTGAGTTTTATTCCCTCGTGTGTTCCACCACACCTAGTGAAAGGTTATGGTTGGATTTTGTGCTTTTGACATTGTGTGAAATTGTATGTTCATGCATTGTTGCTTGAATTGAAAGAACGAGCCTTGAAGGCCGCAGGCATGTGAGGATGAAATTTTTTTTTTCAAAGCGGAAACACACATACCAATCAAGATACATACTCTAGGACAGAGAGATACCTTGTTCGTAACTCAAAACTCCAAGGTGATCAGTGTTAGGCTTGAAGGTTAAAACCCTCTAATGTTGATCCACACCACCCTTTGTCAAGACGCAATAAATCTTCTTGAAAAGCCACCAATTCGAACACCACAAAGGAGCAAGCTAGGCGTCCCTTGTGAAGAGGTAGGAGGCTCTGTTTCAATGAATTTAGATGAGAGAGTTTTCTGCAAATCAAACTCACATAAAGTTGCGCACAAATTGTAAGAGAGAATGGCCTTTTGTTATCCAAAAAAAAGAATGGCCTTTTATTTTCCAAAAAACCCTAAGGAGAATATCACAAAAAGGAAACACTTAAGGAGATGAAAGAGGAATAAATTTGAATCAGATTTTTCACCAAAAATCTGATCATGGAGCGCCCCTTTTGTGGAGGAAAGAGTGGAGTTGTTGCAAATCAAATCTAGTCAACAAACTCCTATCCTATCCTCTTAAAACTAAGTCTGCACCTAGTCAATCTTTTGACCTAATAACCATTATATGATCAGCCATATTGTGTGCCCCAATCAGCCCAAAATCATTCCAAAAATGTTGATTAGTTGCAATTCAAATTGAATCAACTAAATCAAATATTTTCACAACCAACCAAATCTGAATGGAGCTTGATTTGTTGATTAAATGACCATCATTAAGCCACCAAATCAGCGCCCCAATAATCTTTGATGATGTCCAAAGATCTCCTCTTGATACTTGGGATTCGATCTTGACAAGATCTTATCCTTTCCTTTTGTTATGAAACTTCCTTTTATAGCCAATTCAAATTTGAACATTCTAATTTAAATATTCAAACATTTAAATTCAAAATTCATATTCATAATTTAAATTTTAAATTTAAACATTAGATAATTAATTTAACTAATTAAATTAATTAATAATGTCTTAGACCATCCAAGCCCATTACAACAATCCATGCCCCCTTTTTCCCTCTAATTATTTACCTAGGTAGCATCCTCCATACCCGGGTAAATAATTCAAACATTTTCCAGATTCAAGAAATATACCCAGGTATCTTCCTCCCTACCCGGGTAGGTAAAAATTTTCAAAATATACCCGGGTAGGCTTGATGGTCAACGGTCAAACAGGGGCAGATTGGTGTTATGTTTTCTGGAGAGGTTAAATTTTTGAAATAGTTTATAATCAAGGTTAATTTGATAATTAATTATTACATAAGGGCTACAATGGTCAAAAAGCCCATAAACAACATATCAAACCTATGGGAATTATAATATGGGAGAAAATATGTGTAATTTTAAATGACACATTGTGTCATTTCATATACACAAAGAGGTGGGATCCAAATCTTTATTTATTTTTTCAGAGGAATTCACACCTCTTTGTGTCTATAAGATGACACAACTTATGTCGTTTAAAATGACATATATTTTTTCCTTATAATATTTCAGTTTACAGTGGTGCATGCAACCCATGGGAAAAGGATATTCATACACTAAGCAGAAAGCTGTTACGCTAGAAATTAATAACCTTTTTTTTATATTATTCATGATTAATAACCTTTTCAGAAGCAAGCAAGCTACACAAGGTAGAAGAGATCAACATACTCCTCTTTTTTTTTTTCGAGTAATAATTAATATGCTCCTTAATTCATTCCGTCAGTTCACTCTTTCAACTATTATTTTAATATTTCAACAAAATTTAAACAATTGAATGTTTAGATCGTGACTTTGAATATGAATTATGGTACTTCGGTGCAGCTATGCACAAAGATAAGAGTTCATACATACACACCATATTGGCTAAAATTTATGCCACAAAACTTCAATACTTTCTTATTACACATATGTATTGAAAATACTTGGTATTGTAATAACTGGTTATTGAGTTTTACATGGTCATTTATTGATTTCGCTATGTGATAGGATAACGGTAGTGAATAAGCCACTGACACTAAGGATTACTTGTTCATTTTCCATATCAAATATGGTGAATTTATGAACATTGTAATTTCCACCGAGTTTCAACATTTCAAATTGAAAATCACAAGACAAAAATTAAAAATTCAACTTCTTTGTTAAGTTGGCTTGGTCAAAAGTTCAAACAAATTAATTTCATCAGTCTTTGTACTATTTTGTGTTTACTCTTCTGAGCTGTGTGGCTGCGGTTAACAATGCAAGTACATGATGTCCACATATTATATCCATAAAAATAAAACCCTCAATTCTTTTCCTCTACGGCAATGTAAGAATTTTACTAACCACAAAATAGTACATAGTTGACTGGTTGAGTAAAATTAGACATCATGAGCATTAACCATGGTGATTTTACTCGTTGGAATTCTACATATACACAAACCCTAGACACAAAGCTGTACATATATATATATATATATATTCTCAAGAATAGGTGCATTAACTACATTCAAGCATGGTATACCGAACCACACGAATAAAAAAGGAGGGGAAATCATAATCAAAATAGTACACAATGCTAATTGAAATGAAGAAAGCAACCCACATATTATAGATTATGAAAAACAAGAAAATAGACCTACACTCATTATTAGGCAAAGTACTACAAGCATGTATGTGAAACTTAATAAGAATTCACCTCAATTTTTGTTTTACCAACTTTCACAATGAGCTCTCCCCATCATGTTCAATTTCGGATGCTGCTTCATCTTCTTCTTGCATGCAATCAATGCCAAGAGCTCCATGGCCATATCCAAAGGCTTTGATGTGGTCTTTTAGAGACCTTTTGTGTTTGAAATCAGACCCACATAAACAATACCATATTTTCCCACAATTCTTCTCATGTGTTCTCCAATCACCTTTTACTGCAAATGCTTTGCTACATTTTCTGCACATATAGGGTTTTATGCCATGCTTCCTCTTGTAATGTGTTTGAAGGGTTCTGAAATCCTTCAGAGGCCTTGCTCTTGGGTGGTCAATGTTATGCTTGCAGCCTGGTGCACAACAAAAGCATGGAAGCCTTAACATAGCTGTTGGTTGTGTTCCTTTAAGAGAATCAGGTCCCTTTCTGTATTGAGATCCGTGTCCCCATAGATGCATCTGAAAAGCCATGAGAAACTTATATTCCCTTTAGTCAAACAGAATCAAATAACCAAATTCTGTTCTGTTTTACCTTCAGAGCTATGATGCTCAGTTATGAAATTTAATAAAGGATCCTAATTTGCTTCCAATATGTTCAGTATACAATTACAAATTTGAAAGTAAGAAAATAACAAAAACAAAAGTTTTAAAGAAAGACAAATTGATATGCATGTATATTTGAGTTTTACCAAACATATATTGTGATGGACGTAAGTTTTAAACTGATCCCCTAGAAAGAGGAACTAAGTACTAGAGAAACGTTATAGTGATTATCATAAAACTGAAGACAGGTTCAAAGCTAATCTAGTATTTTTAGCTTCTCCTTCATATTCATGTGCAAATTTAGAAGGCTATATGTTAAAAATAAAACGCAAGCTCTAGACAATTTGAAAGGTAATTATTAACATTGTTTTTCAGCCAACATTTTAATTAATTTCTAGTTTCCAAAATAAGATGATAAGTTAGCAGTGACTAAAAGTTCGTACAATTTGTACAAAGAAAGTTCACTTTGTTCAGATATCAAACAAGTTTTCTTAATTCTACTTAAAACATATCTGGCCCTTTATTGTTGAGACACCAGAGGTTCCATATATGATCTCATCACAGACATGTCTATCAATATTATCTTTTTTTACTGTGTAGTGCTTTGAAAAGGCTGGAGTGAGTTCAGGCTTTTTTGATGAGGACCATCTGAATCCTGAAATAAGCATTGTTATTAATGATTTGTTTTAACTTTTTTCCGTTTGCAGTCTGGTGCAGCACAATGTTCTAGGTGACATAAAAGCAGAAGGAAGAGACTTCAAGAATAGTTTAATTGTTTAAAGAAAACAAAAGTTTAATTAAAGTACTGATAGTCTGAGATCAAATAGTCACGTTCAGATAGATATGAAACAAAGAAGAATAAACAAAAAGAAAGACCATGCAAAAGGGATACAAAAGAAAGCCAAAACGAAGAAACTCATAAGGAGGGACCTATCTTCTTATTTAATGTTAAATGAAATGAAAATTAAGGACATTTTATAAAGAGAACATGAAGAAGAAAAAAAAAAAAGTACAGACACAGGACCAGAAGAAGAGGAGGGGGTAGCTGAGGCCGTACCTGAAGATTATTGTATCTGTTGAAAGTTTTAGAGCACACAGGACATGAAAACTGAGTAGGACCAATGAGAATCTGTGAAGGGGTGGGAATCCAATACTGACCCTTGTTCAATTTATCCAAAGGCTGTTCAGAAATCATATTCACGTCCTCTTTTTCAGCCATTTCTATTGAAGTTGGGACCATCCTCAACCCCAGATCAGAAGTAGTACTACCCATTCTAGGAAGCCCTATGTGTAGGGCAACAGTCACAGTTTCATCATCATCTTCAGGACCAGTCAAAAGACTCTCATGTTTGTCTTCTATTGCACTATTACTGTTTGAGTGTTCATTTCCATGCTGATTTGTGATGAGGCTTAACTTGTTAATGAGAGGAAGAGCCTCTCTTGGAGGAGGAGGAGGAGGAGGTGGAGGAACTGCAGAGGAAGATGAGGGTTCGGATTGAATTCCAAACCAGTTGTTTGAGTAAGCAAAAGGGTATGATGAACACAATTTGGATTGAGAAGAAGAAGAGTAGTGAGGGTGTAGGAGCATGAACTTGAACCATCCATCGAATAAATTGGAGTGAGGATCTGTCATAGTGAATGTTCAATGTAGGAAGGTTATTTCTTGATGGTTTGATTCTTTGGTGATATATAATATATTGCGTGCATGTGTGTTTGTGTGTGTGAGAGAGAGAGAGATTGAGAGAGAGAGAGAGAGAGGATACTATGTGGGGGAATGGAGAGCCATAAGCCCCGTAAGTAAGTTTCAAGGTAAAAGAGCAAAGCCAAAGTGTATGGAAAGTCAAGAAATTACCCCCTGCAAGCCAATAAGAGAAATTAAAGGCGAAAGGGAAAGGCAAATGTAGAGTCAGAGGTTAGGCTTGCAGGTTGTCTCCCAGGAGATAGAGTTTGTTGCACCACCACACATGCATATAGACACACAGAGAGATAAATCAAACGATGATAGCTCAGTTGGCACATGAGAGCTGAGTAGGTAAAGATGAAAACATGTGTTTGATTTTCTATAATATCACCTTTGCAAAGCGTTTAAAGCCTTACTCCTGAACCTACCTATATCGAACTAATCACGAAACTATGAATCAATTGAAATATTTACCGAAAGAGAAAGAAGAGAAGAGAGAGAACATTCATTTATTTTCAACTTGGGGCTTGTCTTTCACTCGTGAGAGATTCATTTTAGAAAAGAGTAAAATATAGAAGTAAAATCAATAAATTTTATATAAATACTTAGGAGTTTTATTATAATAATTTAGAGAAAAATATTTATCATGGATACAATATTATATCATTTTAAATGAAATGACTATATTTTGATACATATTTAATAATTTTTTATATTCTCTAACGCGAGTTTGATGTATTGATAAAGTTATTCATTTATGATTGAAATGTTAGGGTTTCAAATTTACAAAACAATCTTTTCTCAAAAATATAGCATGGATAAAATTGTGTAGAAAGTTTTTTAATTTCTTACTCCAATTAGTCCCTAATCCTGGGAAATTAAGTTTAATGGATATTTTTAGATATAACTGAGAATTGAACACACAACCTAATACAACATATTCAAAGCCATCACCACTAGACCAAACTCAGTGACTTATAAGAGTGATTTTATTATATATATATATATATATATATATATATACACACACGTCTCCCGTGCTAGTGAGTAACATTAGAAAATCGTATTTCATTGTTTCAAACTTACCTACATCCGGCATTTGCTTGGATAGGCGTGATTAGTGATTACAACATTTTGCACAGAGAATGAGAATGTTAATTCTACCATTCTCTCGTTCCTGCTTTTTGTCTCTACAGTCAACAAAATATCAAATACATATTATCGGTTCTGGTGTCCGGGTTCGGTTTGATAATTTCAAAATCAGTTCTACTAATTCGTTTCTTAAATGCTTACAACTAATTCAGGCGTTGGTATTTCTTCTCATGCACGTGATTAACCTAGTTTTGTAAATAATGCTTCTTTCATGACCGTTGGAGTTGCAGCTGTGTTTAACATGACTCAATGAGTTTTAACTCCGGTTGATATTAGAGCAGCACTTTGATAATCAAAAAACTTTTATTTTATTTTTGTTGAGATATATAAAACCATTAATATACTCTCACCCAATAGCTTAAGCTTTTGGGTTGAATTGATTCTTTTCATAGTATCATAGTCTCGATGTAACAGATTCGATTCTCACTGCCTTCCATTTTCTTTCTAGTAAAATTTCTTTCTTCGCACAGGTCCAGGTCCTGTGCATTATCCACACTTCACGCAAGTCTAGTGGAGCGTGTGAGGGGATGTATTGAGATATATAAAACCATTAATATAGTCTCACTCAATAACTTAAACTTTTGGGTTGAATTGGTTCTTTACAATTTTGAATAAATCACATGTACCTTTTACAAGAGACAATCTCGTTCGAGCCGGAATATCCACATCCTGGCGGAGCTAATTTTCTCAAAGTGAATTTTTTGCATTCACATGATCTTGAACTCAAAATTTTGCTTAAACGAAATCAAATATGTACCGCTTGAACCAACTCCCTTTGGTTTAGAATAACTTTACTTTTATCATATACTTCATGCACATTTACTCTGTTATTGATACAAATCAAATCCTGTCCAGGAAAAATTTAGGAACAAGAAGGGAATTTACTATGCATGTTAGATTGTAAAATCTTAGTGTGGTACTGATAAAGAGATGTACTACCCTGTAGAAAATGACATCTACGTTGTCGTTTCTTTCATATAATTCAAGTTTGCAGGTGATTGTGAGAGCCCCTCCCACATCATGTGAACTGCATTGCATTTACCTTTTACACAAAGTCCCTTGGAGAAGTTTTCCAGTGGCAACATGATTTCGACACGTGGAGCATTATGAAGCACAAGATTTTGAGGAGAAGGATAGTCGGCACGGGGTACTGTTAATCTTGAGGCGTGGAGAACAAAAATGTGAGCTTGAAAATGAAAGGCGAAGTTTGAAGGTACTGGTTGGGAGTAGAATGTAACAATCAAGCCATCAGAGACAGTGATAGACAAAAGCTATGTTCTGCTCTATTGACTAGTAAGAGACCCAATTGATCAGTAGAGGAAAGATTTTGAGGTATTAACATTGGGTAACAAAGAGAGTTATTTTACAGATTTCTTGAGTTGAAGTTATAAGAGAGAATAGTAAAAATCATTAAAAAGCTCTCACCTACTAGCTTAAGCTTTTGAGTTGAATTAATTCTTTATATGATACCAGAGCATCGTGTTCCGGATGCGATTCTCACTGCCTCCACTTTCTCTTGTGGAATTTTCTTAACACAGGTAGGTGAGTTTGTGCATTGTCCACACTTTAAATTCAATGGGCTCTCGTGTGAGGGGGCGTATTAGAGAATAGTATAAATCATTAAAAAGCTCTCACCCACCAGTTTAAACTTTTGAATTGAATTGGTTCTTTACAGAAGTCTTGAGAATAAAAAATTAAAAAAATAGTTTGCCAAATTTTTATAAGGCGCAACAATTTCTTAATCTGAATTAGTTAGGTCTAGGGATGACAAAACGGGCAATATGTTGTATCGCATTTATGTAAATGGGCTGAAAATTTTAACACATTGTTTTATGATAGGTTGGCAAGTCAACTTATGTATACTGCAAAAATTGAAAAAAAGAGCTAGAGAGAAATTGAGAATTAGGATTTGGAAAGAAAAAAAAAGATAAATATTATATCCCAAATTATCCAATTAAACTTAAAAAAAATAAAAATTAGCCCATCAGAGATGAACTCCACTGATCCACTATAACCTAGCCTTAAGGGGAGGGGTTACGACGGATTAATAGATTTAAATATATAATCCAACTCGCCAAATTGAACAGGTTAGACAAATTGACCCAATGGAACAAACCAAACCCATTTTGCCATTTCATTGGGTTTCCATTAATAAAAACTGGTTACGTGATATGTAACATCTCGAGCGCCGACGAGGGCGGGGAGTGATCGCCGGTGCGAAAGGGCATGGACAAGGAGAGACTCCTGACAGGCTTCCAGCAGGGGGTTACTCGAACGAATGAATCAAATCGACACCTGAAAGAGAAGGATTCCAAAGACTGTGCAGGTATGAGCGACTGCACAGTTTGGGATAGCTTATAAGAATTAATTGGTACTACCTATAGTAACAAGATGCATCTACTTTTTGGTAGCCCAGAACGGAAGAACTCCATAGTTAAGTGTGCTTGACTTGGAGCAATTCTGGGATTGGTGACCTCCTTTTCCCGGGAAGTGTGCGAGTGAGGAAAAAACACACTAAAAAGTCTAGTGTTAGTATGTGGAGATAGTCATGGATTCTTGAAGCGGTCGGGCGTTACATGATATGCTTTCAACATACGAGGTTTTAATTGTTAAAATAAGCAAGGATTCAATCTAAAATGATCCAAAAAGGCTTATAATTGTGATAAAGATTGTTAATCCACTCTCAAACTTGTTCACATTAAAATCTTGTTTTGTAGGAAAATTCGCACGGAAAAGAAGAGAAGTTCAGGTACATTCGTGCCATCAGCGCCAAGTTGGCGTTGGAAGCACCAAACTGGGGATAAACCTTCTATTTCATCGCGCAAGTAGCGCCAAGGCCGCGCTACCAGTGCCAAGAATTCCAAAATACCATTGTTTCCCTACTCCTCAAGCGCGACACTAGCGCTAGAAATTCAAATCAACAGTGCCATTAGCGCAGGTGTGGCGCTATCATCGCCAAGACTATAATTAAGCCTCTGTTTGGCCGCGCCACCAGTACCAGAAGCACATGACTTGTTAAGTAAAGTTTCGAAGTATACTAGAATAAGAGATTTTGTGGAAGATTTGGGGAAGATTTGGAATCATATAAAAGGAGAACAACGCCTTGTTGAAAATATACTTGGCGGGAGCAATTTGGAGAGAACAGAGAAAGTGAATTACAGTTTTCAGAGAGAGAAAGACTTGAAGATTGAAGTAGCTATGGAAGATCATCATCTTCTTTTTTTATCTTCATGATTTCTTCTACCTTCTTTTATTTCTTTATTTTGTTTAAGCCAGCCATGTTGGCTGGTTTTCTTTTGCAGTTAGGGATATAGATCCAACGTGAATCCTTGTTTGGTTTATATTATTTCTTTAATAAATTCTCTCAAAGTATTTTTATCTTACCTTGAATTTATTCTATGCATTCTTGTATGACTTGATCAATCATATAGGATTAAAGAGGGTCAGGGTTTACAATAGATATATTGGGATCTTGATCTAGACTGGGTAAAACATCAATTCTTGCATAATCGAGATATAGGCTTGTAAGAATTGTGAACTTTATAATTCATCGCGCTTAAGACTTAATCTAAAATGAATTACTAAGACATTAAGGTTCTTATTGGGTTAAAGGATTAAAGAACTGAGAAATTAGGATTTAATCACTTAATTCATGGTTAATGAATTATTTGAAATAATTGAGATAAATTATTATTGAAATTAATTTAAATCACTCAAGGGTAGAGGTATTAACGGGTCGAGCCGGGCCAGACTTTGGTCTTAAAAGACTAAGCCTATATTTAAATATGTCAGTCTGACTTAGCCTGT